ACGTGATATTTGCCTCGCATGCGCCAATAATGCCCCAACGTTCACACACTTTCAGCAAGTAGCGTGCTATCACACGCAGAAGAAAGTGGCCTACCAAAGCCTCGCATCATCATGCATGCAGCCATGCTGACTTCACCCCTAGCTTTGAGGAACCCGCTTGGTGCCTGTGCTCATGAAGGGGGACCTGAAAACATGATATGTTGGTTCAAGGTCTTCCATGGCTTACAATAGCTTCAGGCTCGGGGTATATGGTACGTACCGAGTTCATGCTGCAGCATGCCTGCACACACGATGAGAGGAGTACCCAGTTGTACCGGATTAAAGAATTAAGGGCTGCATGATCAAAAGTCAGCTGGCTTCGGCTGTCTGCTCACTCGGCTCGCTCTTGTCATTGCCATCCTGATTGGTCGCGTCCTGCTCCTTGGTGCTCGACTTCCGGGTGCGTTTTTCGCTCCTGAACTGATGGCCCAAAAGAAGTTCCGGAAAGACGACCTGGTACTGTCTCCACAGCTTCGTGGCTAGCTTTGCACGTGCCCTGCACACCTCGATCTGCTCGGATCCTTCAGCTGTCTTGTACAGCCCCTTGTACACGGCACTGTAAACATTATTGCCTTGCACCCAAGCGGGGGGTTTGTAATACTCTGCTGGCAAATCGGCCAGCAAAGGTAGCTCTGCATCGGGATCGTCGATCAAACCCTGCAGTGCTTTGCACAACCCTGGGAAGCTGTCTGCATGCGGTCGCTTCTTAGCGTTCTCCTTCGGCTCATCAGAGGGCTCGGCTTCCACCATTTGCTCACCATCGCTAGGCAACTTATCACCCGGCTTGGCTTCCATCTCATGCTCGCCATCGCTAGGCAAGTCATCACCCGGCTTGGCTTCCATCACAGGCTCGCTGCCGTGAGGCAAGTCATCACCGGGCTCGGCTACCATGTCAAGCTGCTTTGCCTTTGCTTTGGCTTTGCTCTTAGCCTTGCCCTTAGATTTCGCCTTCGCCTTCGGTTGCTTGGGCGACGTCTTCGCCTTGGCCTCCGGCTGCTGCTTCTTCCCTGCCTTTGCTTTGGGCTTCCGCTGACCAGCGAAGCTGCCCTGATCTTCGCTCCCGAGTTTCATTTCGGAAAGCACTTCAGCAACAAACTTCGGTGCCGCATCGAGGGGGTACTTGTAGTTGGAGTCGACCTCAAAAGTGTGGAACACAAATTCAAAATTCGCACACACAAAGCTTGCAAACATCACCAATCTAATTGCACCGCAGTGGCAGCAGCTGCTGTGGCAGCCGGTTGATCTTCCTATATAGAAAAGAGAAATGCAGCTCCACAAGAACAGCCTTTCTCACAAACGATCTATTGCACCACAGTGGCAGCAGCTTCTGGGGCAACTGGTCCAGCGACTTCTTCCTGGAGTGCACAGCATGGGCACTTAGTATAAATGCATGAGAACAGAATTAAAGACAACTGCACACGTTCTTACAACCAGAGCGTCTTCATTGACAGGATAAGGGCAGAAATGTCAGCAGATTGAAGCTCTGAAGGAATGCAGCCAATCTCTCTCTCTACCCAAAGGGTCCTTAGGGTATAGGGGTTTAGGGGTTTAGGGTTTAGGGGGTTTAGGGTTTAGGGAGTTTAACCCAAAGAGTCCAAGTATCATTATGGTATATACTTATAAGGTATTTTGGGGGTCTAAGTATACACCATATTGATACTTGGCTCCTTGGGAGTTTAAGATTTAGGCCTTGGGGGTTTAGGGTTAAGGGTTTGGGATTCCGGCCCTAAACCCTAAACCCCAAACCCTAAACCCTGGGGTTTAGGGTTTAGGATTTAGGCAATGGCTCCTTGGGAGTTTAAGGATTCAGCTTCGGGGGTTTAGGGTTTAGGGGTTCCTTTAAGGGGGACCACTAAGAGTTCTAGAAGGGATCTATATAGGGTTTACAGTATAGGGGTTTAGGGGTTAGGGTTTGGGGTTCAGGGCTTCGGCTTTAGGGCTTAACGTTTAGGGTTTGGGGTTTAAGGTTTCGGCTTCGCGGCTTAACGTTTGGGGCTTAGTGTTTGGAAATCAGGGTTTCGGCTTTGGGGGTTTAGGGCTCGAGGCGCAATCGCCAAAAAGTCCCTTTAAGGGCTCCATGAAGGTTCTCTACCTAGGCAATCGCAAGGCAAGGGCTCCCAGCCTACCCCAGGGCTCTAACAGGGGTCATGGCCTTCCTGGAAAAGGGTTTGGGCTTTGGGGGCTAAGGCTTGGGATCTCACTACGAGGGTCCAGGAGCCTTGCAGGGGTAGGGCTTATAGGGCAGGCTGCGCTTCAGGGTTTACAGAGATGCAAGACTGCGTCTGTTTTATATACATGTACACACATACATTGTTACACACATGTACATATATATATATATATAGAGAGAGAGAGGTGTAGCTATATAGTTATAAATATATATATCTATATATAGATAGATATACATAGCTATCAGTATATTTATATTTATATATATGGTAGAAGCCAGAAAGTTAGAACATTGGTATCCTCATGCCCCTAAAGTAAAGTATACGGGATCCTAGCTCAAATGCTCCTAAACCCCATGTTCCAACTTTCTGGCTTCTACTATATATATATATATATATAATAGATATGTATCATATTATAGATATGTATCGACAACTATATACATACTTATCTATATATGAGATAGATATTATTTAATTTTTTATCCATGCAACTGGCAAGCAACACGAACACAAATGCAGCCACAGCATCCTGAGATTTTTCAGCAACAGGTCCACGAGGAACTTCACCAGGACGAACAGCAGGCTCCTTAAGACTGAAGCAATTGTAATTGTACATGTATGCAAGCAAGGAGGCAACCATGCCATGAAGTCCAGTGCATGTAAGGTGGCTGCAGCTGGGCTGGCTTGCAAGCTGTCCATTTCCACCTGAAACCCACCATGAAAGCCGATTCCCAAATCTCATCAGAATCCAAGACATTGAGACATGGCAATCAAGACAAGATGCATCCACACCCAGTTCGGCACAGGCAGGCATACCAGGAGGAAGAGCAGCAGGTTCATGCTCCTAGCTTGCAATGTGCCAAATGGCCCATCTGGCTTATGTAAGCAACTTAGGAAGAAGCTACATAACACCTCTCTACACACAACTAAACGAAAGTGAGCTGCAGTGGCACAGCGATCATCACCAGCAGCATGACAGCAAGGAACGGCAGCAACATGTTGTCGCTCCTAGGTTGTCAGGCTGCAATTAAAGAATTATCAACTATGCACAGTCTCTTGCACCAAAGTGGCTTCAGCTTGCGATGCTGTGGCTTGTGACGGGGGCATTCCTTCCTTAGCTACATCAGGCCAACCGACTATGTAATCCTGAAACAAAGAAGGCAGCTCCAAGACAAGGTGCACCACCAGAGGCAACTGGTCGCCCAGGAACAGCACCAGCAGGTAAAGCCATCTTAAGAATCGCAATTACCCAGGTTGCAAAACTACAGCCATGCACATTCTATTGCACCAAAGTGTCTTCAGACTCGGATGCTGCAACTCGTGATGCGGACTCTCGTTCCTTAGCTACAGCAGCCCAGCATCTAGCACAAAATACCAAAAACCCACTCCAGACGAGTTGCACCGTTCGAAGCAACAGGATCTCCATGAACAGCAGCAGCAGGTAGGAGCTCCTTGAGAGGCAAACCGCCAAACTTACTTGATTTCTCATCATGCAGTCCATTGCACCAAAGTGGCTTCGGATTCAGGCGCTGTGGCTCTGGATGGAGACACTCGTTCCTTAACTATATTAGGCCAACAAGAACTCCAACCATGAAGCACGATGGAACCAACTCCAAGACATGTTGCTCCAAAGATACCACCAAAGGAAGCAAGAGGTTGTCCAGGAACAGCTACAACCGTGTACAGTCTGTATGTATAGTGCATGAAAGCGGCTTCGGATTCGGATGCTGTGGCTCGTGATGCCGACTCTCGTTCCTTAACTACAGCAGCCCAGCATCTAGAATCACAAAATTCCAAAAAAAACAGCTCCAGACGAGTTGCACCGTTCGAAGCAACAGGATCTCCAGGAACAGCATGAGCAGGTAGGAGCCCCTTGAGAGTCAAGGCGCCAAGTTTCCCCTATTTTATGATCATATACGGTCTATCGCACCAAGTGGCTTCAGCTTCGGATGCTGTGGTTTGTGATGGGGCCATTCGTTCCTTACTATATCAGCCCAGCAAGCCTTCCAATCATGAAACACAAAAAACCAGCCCCAAGGCAAGTTGCATCATCGGCCGCAACATGTTTTCCAGGAATAACATCAGCAGGCAGGAGCTCCTTGAGAGTCAAACCACCACAGCTACCCCAGCCCCGAGAACATGCACAGCACAACAACAACTGGAGAAAGCTAAAAGAAACACATTGAAAGACTGGAGGCTGCAATGAAATGATGTGCAGGGCAAGTTGCAACATGCTGCTCTCCAGTAGTAGCAACATGTCCAGTAGGAGCAGCAGAAGATGTACCAAACTCCTGAGCGAATCCAAGCGAAAGCTTTAAACCGAAGAACTGAAAGGAATGCAACAAACATGATTTCTGCACCTCGTTGTCGTCCTCATCCAACAATGAGATCGCATGGTCCTGAAGTTTCACATTGCACTATATAGCCACTGACTCCTGAGCTGCTATCAAAGCGGCAATAGAGGCTGCATATAATCGAAAGTATGTACATGCATATGCTTCCATACATATTTATTTAATTACATGAAAGCTTATGTGTGTCAGTGTGTGCATGTATGTATGGCTGCAAGCAAGTGTGTATAAGGAAGTAAATATATATGTATGTACATAGGTATGTTATAGCTACATGGCTAGAGGTTTATCCGCGCTTAACGAAATCGATCAGCAAAGCTTGTACACACACACACACATTGAGATAAGATCTATGGTTTCTGCCGAGCTACTGCAACATCTATGGCCCCTGCCATCCCATATGGAACCCTACACATGCAGTTATTACCAATCAATCAACTTATAGTCGGTCCTCAGTGTCTGCGGCCGCAAAGAGGACTCGAGGTTGCAAATCCACAGCTGACCCTGAGGATCCTTCAGAGACCCCTGCCGCCAAAGTGGCAGCTGCAAGTTGATTGGCAAGCTCAGAAGCCTGGCGGCGATATGGGCACACCTCCGAAGGAGGTATCCCCAACTCCTTTGCAATCCGAGCCGCCTCGACGCCTGCATTGAACTTGATTGGGCTGGTGTCTGAGGCACCGCCCGGCAAGTCATCAATGGACACAACACTTGGCAGCGAGCAGAAAGAGGGCAGGTCACGGTATGGCCCTCCTAGAACAGCAGCCCCTGCCATTCCCACATCCGAACCAGTGTCCATTGCACTACCTTGCCCTGGAGGTGGCAACACACCCTCCTTCTCAGCCATCTCTTCATCTGATGAATCAATGGCCATAACTTCATCCATCTGGGCAGGAACTGCATCATCTGGAGCATCCTCAACCGAAGCTTCAAAAAAAACGCAACTGCGTGACTGTCACGACATCAACCCATGCAGATGGAACATGCAGCAAACCTACACGAATGCAATATATGCTGTGCCATGAGGCCATCTCAGCGATGGCCTGGTCCACCCACGAACTGTTCGAGGTATCCATGCCTAGGAGGACTAAGACATGCACGGACACACACACACACACACACATATGCCATGCATGCAGAGTATGATGCAAGTAGTGCACACAGAAAGAAACAACACCGAACACAAACAATGCAAAGATAGTACAAACCTGAAACAACGACAGCCGAAGTGCTGTGAGGGGGATCCTGCTCCAGATCCAGCACAATCCCAAGGCAATCACCATTTGCATCATCATCGGGAATCTCACAAGCCTCGATGGCCTTGCAGCTGTGCTTTCCACGTTTCTTTTTCCCCGAACGAGTTCGGGTCTGATCACGAACACTCTTTGCATCTTTTCGTTGCTTTGGTCTCTCTTTGCGGGGGTTCTTCACCATGACCGCCATGAGTCTTTCTGCGACCTTCTCGAGGGAGATATGACAAGTAAAATGTGCATGCGTGCATACATGCAAAGATTGCCCGACCTGTGTTTTCGTTCCTCTGTCCACAGCCTTCCTCCAGTATGTGCGACCGAAGGACAACAAGTTGATCAACGTGTACGATTCCTTAACTCCACATCTGTTGTTCGCATGTTTGCACTGCAGCAGAAAGCAAAACACAGAGAGGGCAAGTAACCATTCAGGCAAAGATCATCAAGTTGCCATCGTTTGCTCTCTCTCTTATTCATACCATTGCAAAGGCCATGATTGCTTTCCTCATCCAGCTTGTCAAATACCTTCATGAAGAAAGGAACAGGGAAATCGCCTGCACCCACATTCTGAGCAGACCAGCATCATTCAAACTGAACATGACACTAAAACAAAAGGCTTCATGACTGTACATCGAGCCACTAATTGGGCACAGGTCGAAAAGCGCACAGGCCAGATCAAGATAATATGCAAAATCCCCCAGCTTTATATTCCCGGGGTCTTGGATGTCCAGAAACAAGGTCTTATCTGGACCCTTCTTTTCAGAACATTTCAAGAATGCTTGCACGGGAAGATACTGCTTCAGAAGACCTTAGATTCGACCGGTACATATTCAACGAACATCCATAGCTGTGTGTGCTGCACTTGCTGCCACACACATTGTATCAAGCTTGTGTGCTACCAAGATACCAGCAACATCATCTTCTTTCCCACGAAGATACTCCATGGCGGAGCGAATGATCGAATGGCAGCAAGCCAGCTTTCACGTCAAACCGTCAGGAAAAAGTTTTCCAAAGGCCCACTCCACAGAAATGCATGGTGATGAAGCCAAGTGAGAATTTTGCATATATGAAATTGTACCACACACAAGACCCATACGACATGGGACTCGTCCTCTGTGAGCCATCCTATACACATCCATGGGCATGTAAGCCAGAACTGTCTGCCATGTCACAGCACCGTGCAGGCTGCCACACAGAAGCATGCATTCATACGAGTGAGCAGGCCTCGGAAGACACGTCGTCGAGGTGGCATGCCAAGAATATGTTCATGAAGCAAAGCATTGGATGTGCAATCTGGAAAGTCCTATATATGCGGTATAGAATCTGAACGGAACTGGTTTCTTGCATAGCTGTTCGCATGGGATCATGGTCCAACTAACATCATTGGCCATCTCTGTCAGTGCTTCCGGAATGCACAACATAGACACATTAGTTTCCAAAGTGTGTTGGTGCATCCAAACATGTATATGCAGAGATCATGCAACTTTACAATGTGAGCCATCGAGCGCTTCACAGTCAAGACTCCCTATCAGAAGCTTGACCCCATGGTCGCGGGTCGTCATGACCTGTCCGGGTCTTCATGACCCTTCGTGGGTTGAGGGGCTTTTGTATTAGGGGCGCCATGGTGAAGTGGTTCACCCCAGGGTTGTGCCCATGACAGCCCCGGGCTCTCCTATCGACACCCCACAGACCCTTAGGGTGTAGAAGCCCGATAGAATTCTTAAAGGAACCTTCTGGAGGAAGCTTAAGAAGAAACCCGTAGCACCCACCCAAGGAGCTGTCTTAACTCACGCTAGAGCTAGGGGTTTAGTGTTCAGGGTGACTGTGGATGTGAGGCCTAAACCCTTCCCCAATATCTTGGACAATACCGGCAGAAAGGCTACAAGAAAAGCAAATAATGAAGCCTTGTATAGTATAGTACCTGGAAACCAGCCACAAATTGATTATCTCTCATTCCCTCTAAATATTTCAACTCTTGCATACCTTACATATACCCTATTCCAATTATTCTGCGCCTGCCTCTCTCCCGAAAGAGGCATTCTGGTAAGGATCCGAACATCCGGACCCTTAAGGGAAGGGTAGTTTATCAATCAAGAGTCTGTATGACAACTACACTTGTACGAATAGGTCCCTGATTTAGTGTACCGCGTAGGTACCAAGAAGAGTCCGCAACGCTACGGAGACCCTTCCCCCTTCAGGGCCCCCACAAAAGCACATAAGCAAACTTAAGGATAGGGATATCCCATACAAACCCCCTTTTCATGAAGCCCAACAAGGTAGGGAGATGCACATGTCCTTTTTTTTGGTTCCTGCCCTTGCCCAAATGCGGATATCCGCCGCAACAGGCGAAGTCCAAGTGGCATGATGCGTTGCTCAGCTCGTTTCATCGCCGACAGGGTTTACGTTCTACGTTTTGGTTTTCGGTGAGGTAGTTGTTACCTGGGGCTTGGGGTCTGGAGTATGGTGTGAGTGTGTATGGGGGGAGTGTCGAGGGTTCAGCGGGTAAGGTCATGGAGTTCGCATAGGTGCTGATGTGGAGATTCATGGGTGCAGGGCTGTTGGCCCTGGATTTTGGGATTTCTTAGGGGTACTTAGCATTTGTTGTTAATTTTTGGTTATTATAATCCCTAAGAAACAGCTAAAATTGTAATTTTTTGCTAGGGTTCTAAGTTCAGTATAGGATTTATCTGTCAGGCGTGTTTTGGATTGGAGGGCGGCGGTTTGATGCCCCGACTTGCTGGGATAGTCCCGACCCTTAGGTTTTAGCCTCAACCCCTGAAAACAAAGGACCCCTTAAAAATTAAGATGGGGTTTGTTGGGGGCCCGTCATGCTATAAATATTAGAAGGAACCCAAAGAAGTATTTAGGTCAGTTTTCGGGGAATTCCCTCACCCTAAACTACTCTAAACCCTTAAACCTTAAAACCCCCTAAACCCCAAAACCCTTAATAAACAATGGCCTGATGGTCATGAGTCATCAGCAAAGGGACGCTCGGATACAACGTACCCGGAGTCCATATACACTACCCTTATGGAATTGAGGCCCTAAAGACTAAAGACCATCCTCATGATGCTTTGGGGGGACCCCATTCCATAACAGTATAGTATACAGGACACCCATTCCACAACAGTATAGTATCTATGCTCTTGGATAGAGGGTCGTTGGAGAATGCCGGATACAGCGAACCCATGAGTAGGTACGTAGGCCACTGGGGCATTCTGCACGTTGCTGTAGGGGGAGTTCAAGGAGTCTCTTGCGAGTTTGTTTCACAGGGTTTTGAGCGGCAGTCTGGATCCGTCTTGGCCAAAGTTAAAGTAAACCCTACAAACATTGTATGTCTGACCTTAAGAATCCTTGCGGCCCTGGAGAGGGCATCACATGCTGCTGGTCCATTCATTCCATTTTTAGAATCCACGACCAAAGCATGAGGTCCTTCTTCGACTCGTCGCCACCTGAGCCCTCTGTGCAGTTTGATGTGTCGAGGTTCTGCAGTTAGCGAGTTAAGATAAGTATACGGCGTCGGATTTGGGGTTTCAGGTGCATTTTGTAGGCGTAGGTTTGTATGGATCCTTAGGGTAATATTTCTGACTGAGAGCAGCCAGCCCTAAACACAAAATTCTGACCCGAAAACCGAACTTAATTTGAGTCCAGCCTGAGCAGATTACCCCGACATAGGCCCGACGGTGTGTCAATCTGCTAAGTATACTTTTCGACGAGGCTGGCGCTGCTGTTTGTCCTCTTCGGGCTTAAACTCCCAAAGCCTGGCAGACAGCTGGCGCGACCCCTCAGGCCTGCACCCTGAACCTATAAGCGAACTCCCCAAAAGAATCCTCAAGGAACTGAGGCCTACTGTACTCCAAGAGAAGAAGTACCAACTACTTCGGGAGCCAAAGTCCAAAACCCTAAGGCTCCGTCTGCCCTGGAAGTTTATACTTAGGCCTTGCAGTACCAATAACATATATATATATATACACACACACATAGGAACTCCCTTTAGGCCTGAGTGTATAACGTCTGGGAACATAGAGCCTGAGGGTAAGTAGCACCGTCAGTTTTACCTAGCCTGCTCTGGCTATTGGGAATCCCTAAGGGTCCATGTACCCAAATAGTATATACATAGGCCTTAAAGTACCTATATAGGGACCCCTTTAAGGCCTAAACCCTAAACCCTAAACCTTAAACCCTAAACCCTAAACCCTAAACCTTAAACCCTAAACCTTAAACCCTAAACCCTAAACCCTATACAGGTACATGGAGGCCTTGGGGATGCAGCCTCGGGCGGCTCGAGGGTCGGCTTAGGCAAGCACTTCTTAGCCCGACCCTAAGACCAAACAGAGCCACCGGGGCCTTGAGCTCTACTCCTAGTTGTAGAGTAGGTAACCTTTATAACCTTTTTGGGGTAGTGTAGCCCCTATATAATGCCTATATAACCAAAACGGCTAACCTTTAGTTCCCCATGATACCGGGAAGCAGCTATTAGCCTAAAGCGTAGAACCAAACCCAAACGCAACACCATGGCCCTGAGTTCCATCCGGACCAACTGGGGCCTTTGTCGCTATGCCCTGAGCTTTAGACTTACACACCAGGCCATGCACTTCGCAGAGGCCCAGGTTATAAGTAGAGCTACAAGTACCCTAAGTGGAGTTGCCCCCAGTTACAACCTTACTTACTTAAAACCGACTTACTAGAGCACTAAATTCCACTACGCCTGAACTAAACTTAGCCCCTCAACTCTACAGTAAGCCCCAAGCACCAAGCCCTACCCCCGTAAACCCGGCACGAAAAGCCCTTACATCCTTGAAGCACTTCAACCCTGAACCATAGAAAGC